AAACTCAGTTCAAATGTTCATCTTCAAATGTCATGGTTTTATGCAAACTTTTTTACAAAATTGTTGCTGTTTAACAGCCTTTCTGCTGTGTGTTTGCAGTCATTGTAGGAAGTACCACGGTAATTACACACATTAACCTCTACTTGAGTAGTGAAATACAGTAGTGGCATTGGGGTATGATGATACAGTAATGTAGACTTTGGCTGAAATTGTATTTATTTGTTAAAACCACAATATTAGGTAAAAATCCAAAGATACTAATTCTTAGTCTAATAAAGTGCTTTCTAAATATGTCAGCTGAGCTACTTACTCTTGACTTCTGATGTTACTATTGGCATGCAGTGCATTGTATGGAGGGTATCCCGGCCTTTGGAAGCATGTAACCAATGCATCAGTGGCGATGTGGAGGGTATAACCGTATTGGTCATAAAGAGCTGCTGCCTGTAATCAGCTTGGTCTGTCACAGTTTTCAGAAAGAATTTTTGTAGAGAGCAGTGTTGCCTGCGTGTTTGGCAAGTGATGTGGAGCTCAAAGTAAAATTTCAAAGAGCTTTTTGCTGGTGGCACCTGCAGAGCTCAGCTGACAGAGCAGCTTTCTTGCAGTGCCACAGCCTGGTCAGTATCTGACTCCGGAATTGACAGTACTTGGCAAAATCCCCGTCGTGATTCCGTGCTGTTCATACCAGAACAGCTTTGGTTCTTGTGTTCTAAGTTTGCTTCAGGTGAAGGTGTCTTCTCGTTATGGCTTTAACTGATCAGGTGGCTTACCTGTGCTGAAAAGAGGGAGGTGATGTTCTTGCTCCTGCATCTCTTTCCCCTTTTTACCCTTTCTTCTTCCTTTCCACAGCAATGTGGTGTTCAGTGGGCATGCATTGTGCAGGGTAAGCTTATTAAGCTAATAAAAGATGTGTTTTTGGTATTAAATTGTTTTAGCAGGTTGAATTAGTTTGACTGAGTTGAGTGGGAAGAAAAGTTCAGAAAGCTGTAACTACTACTGATCTGTTATTTCATGCTGCCTCACATGCCACGACTCTTGGCATCCTTGGAGGACTGCAGCCCTATGTCCAGATGGAAGTTTGTCTACATCTATTTATCTACAGCTAAATTGACATCTACCCTGAAGCAACCTGTTATTAAGGGATGATGTCATTCCGGTAATTACCAAATGTGTAATTCACTGAATGGCTTGCAATTTATATAAATGTATATAATAGAATCATAAAATATCCTGAGGTGAAAGGGAGCCACTGAAGTTGTATCAGGGGAGGTGTAGGTTGGATATCAGGAAAAGGTTCTTCCCCTGGCTGGTGGTTGGGCACTGGAACAGGAAGCTCCCCAGGGAAGTGGTCACAGTCCCAAACCTGCCAGAGTTCAAGAAGCATTTGGACAGTGCTCTCAGGCTCATGGTGTGATTCTTGAGGTGTTGGACTTTGATGATCCTTGTGGGTCCTTTCCAACTCAGAGTATGATTCTCTAAAGTGATTTTTTTTTTTATTGCTGTGTTTTGTCTTGTTGTTTTTTATCTCTTAACACTTCACTGCCCCACAGTTGTTATAAAACTCTTAACAATCAACTTTCAATTGATGAGACCTTAGAAACTGTCTTCAGGTAACCTGTTTCCTGGAAATTCACTCAGGAGTTATTGTAGCTGCTCTGTATGTTGTAATTTCATAAGTGCATATCAGTACACCAGTTATAAATTTTCAGATAGTGTGTATTGATCTAATTTAGTTTTCAATTGAATTTAATTCCTGATTTCTTTATCTTCATTTGAGGTGATTTATGCTTCAAAAATGACAGTAGTGAAATAAGTTTCCTTCTGTCCATATTTGGACACATCTATGGGGAGTATCAAGACCACAGTAATCCTACTTTTCTCATTCTTTCAGAGAAGTGACATCAGTTGATAAATGGAATTGTTACTTGTTTTCTTAACTTGGAAGGTATGCAAATGGCTTAAGGAAAGAAGATTAAATTTAAAGATACTGTTTTCCCGTACATCTAATTAGGGCATGTAAAAGGTGTGAAAAACTGATTTTTATACTTGTTTAGGACTTGAGTCACGGTTTGCATAATCCCCGAGATTCACTAGTGGCTCTGTGTGTTAACACAGCAGGACCAATTCTGTGACAATGTGCTTTGGTTTTGCCTTTAGAGCTGCCACGTCTATGGCAGTGTTAATTTATTCCATCCTCACGAAATACTTTCCATTTGGAGTTTGGACTCCCTCAGCTCATTTCTGAAAGTCACAGATCTTGCTTTCGTTGTGAATTTGGGTTGGTTTTTGATGCATTGAACTTTCAATAATTATAAGGCTGGTAATGTAATGCACCTCAGTGTGTCCTTTAGCCTGTGGATGCTTTGGAAGAAAGTCTTTGAAGGATTGCTTTCCTAGTCTGTTGTGGCTCAGCAGGAGTTCTTGTCTAAGCATCTTAGCTGTGTGGCCTGTGCTGTAAGCTCTTGGCTCTGAATAACTCACTGCTCCGCCTGCCGCGTGCTGTGGAGCAACAGGGGAAGTGGGTATTGTATTCCAGCCAGTTTGTGCCTGCTTAGAGTGGAAAATGTGCAGTTGTAGGCAGGTCAAGCAGAATTGGCAGAACAAAATGCTGGACAATACATAGGCTGGGCTGCTAGATGGTGACAGGAATGAATTTAGTGTTACTGACTGGGAAAAAAACACGACAAATTTCCATAGTAGCCCAACCATGTAATCCAAGGGGTTCTGAATGGTTGTGTGTTTGTTCATGCTTCTCAACAGTTGTTTTGAGTTTCTTTTCAAGGCTCTGTGTGTAACTTTAAAGGCTAGAAGCTTCAACACTTCAAAGTGAAAATGGGAATTTGTTATGCATTGCATTTGGAAGCCTGATAAAATTCACAGTTGGCCAGTAACTGCCAATTACTTTGTATTACACCTTTACTCACTACACATATTCAGAAAGTGTTAAACATATATATATAAACCCCTTTAATTTAAAACTGTTGTAGAGAAACATTGTACGTATTGACAGTGGATCTTCTGTCTGCTCACCCATGTTATGTTTGAATTTTTATTTGAAGAGAGAAGTGATGCAAAGGCTCTTGCTCATGCAAATGAAATTCTTAAAGTGATTATCTTCTGTTTCATTTACTGACATTTGTTATTCTGAGGGGGTTTTAACTGCAATTTATTCTGGTAAGGTACCCCTCCATTACTGCATTTCAGCCTCTTCCTCCTAGGAAACCACACAGACCTTGCTTGCTGTCAGGTTTTCTTTGAGTATTGTGCTCATGGTTTGCCTTTCAGAGTATGATGTTTGTTTGTCAATTAAAAAAAAAAAGTTTTATAAAAGATCCCTACCATGAGTGTAGATAGGAATTTTCAGCTGATTCTTGTAGTCAGTGGAAGCTCATTTCCTTTTAAAATGAAAGGAGTCTGCAGCATTACTGCAGAGGACAAAATGCATTGTGATTATACAAGGTGAGTTTATTGCAGTATTTCTGAAGTCACAGCAAGATAATTCACACATCTCACTGTTCTTTAAACTTGTCTCATTCATCTTGAAAAGGTTTGTGATGTGACAGGTGTAATATTGGATACTGGAATGTGAGGTAGGACAGAGAGGAACCCTGAGTACATGTGGTGTTTAATGAATGCTGATGGCAGCTCAGAGCTGTCCATGCACAAAGCAGACAGGTGGTGAACTAGGCTGGACTTCTGCTATTTTTACCTCTTTTTTTTTTTTTAGCTTTTACCAACTTTTTTTTTTACTCTAAACCTGACATTTGACTTTTCTTTGAAGAACTATGTTCTATTTTCTTGCCTCTGAAAACTAAGAGACTTCCAAAGGAAAGACATGGGAAGCTGTTGGAATTTATTATGCAGAGAGATGTGTATGTTTACTAATCTGCTGTGCTGCTCTGGACTGCTGCTGAAAGTTGAGCTCAGGTGGCAAATTGATTGGAATACCTGTGCCATGTGCCACCACAGTTGCACTGGGGTTGAGATAAGCATGATTTAAGCTTGGGATTTTGGGTAGCTGATATATTACTTGAACACCGACTCTGCTGCTATCTGACTCTCATTTCCTTTTTGAGCACAGCACTACATTCTCTGCAGTTAAGAATTCAGCTGAGCAGCATTGTTGGAAAGGCTTTTGAAGCTCAGCAATGTTGGATGTGTTAGAAAGGCTGTGTCATGCACCACCTTCATGCAAAGTTTTTGTGAATCTTTGCTTAGATTTCAGCTGCCTTTTGATTACTGCTGTGATGATGAGCCACAAGTGAGAAAAGCATTTGTTGACTCAGACTGTATTTGCCTTCTAGTAGTCTGTGGGTATTGAAATTCAGATAGAATCTTTTTGATGTTGAATGCAAGAATCCTGAAATGGAAAGAGGGTTATTTTTGTCACTAATTACAGTAGTATGAATTTAACAGGTGCTTTAGAAAAATATTAAGTAGATACTCACCATAATCTTGAAAAGGACTCTTTAAATTCTGTTAAATTCTTATGTGTCACAAAATATGCTTCTGACTTCTTGGATTTCTAGTGATGTAAAGACAAAAGGGTTTAAGCCCTATTAATAGAAGAGTATTTTGGATAATTGTGCTGCTTGGTTTTCCAACCTGTTGTTTCTAGCATGTTGTAAATAACAGTCATCTGTGCTTTGTGGTAACTTCAGACTTTCCTGCAAACTGTTCAGGATATCAGTGGAAGCAAATATGTAGCAGTTCCATTTTATGTGGGTCAGATTAATTAAAGCGATGTCTACATGATGCGACAATGAGACTGAATAAAGACCTGAACTAGCACATTCCAGTGAAATGTCATACAGACGTACCTGTGATACAGTAAGTGGTTTAATGTTAAACTTTGAGATGTGATTGTTCCCACTCTTGTGTTTAAGCTGTTGTCTCTTGATAGCTAGATTGAAAAATTGAATACAGTAGTTTTTCTAAACATGCATTTTGGGAAGAAGGAAAAATTATGATGGCTTAAAAGGTAATTGTTTTGTTTCTTACAGAAAATGCCAGAAGCTTCAGAAGACCATAATCACTGGAAGACCTGTTGACTTCCATTCTTTGGTAATCTGGAACATCATCCATCTGGCATGGCGCAGGGCAGTCAACAACTTGACGTGCAGGTACTCCATGATCTCCGGCAGCGTTTCCCTGAGATACCCGAAGGGGTGGTATCTCAGTGCATGCTCCAGGTATGGTACAGTGTGTGTATTGTGTTTTAGTATGAAAACCCTTTTCAGTAGTGTACATGGAGCATAGATTTCTATTCCCCTGGTTTTATTTTAAAAGATTGGAGGACTCTGCTACTTGCATTTCTGTCCTGTGTTTCAGGGATAAATTTTCTGTCATTCTTCATTTAGGCTTGTGATTTTTTTTTTTTTTCACTGACAATTTTTCCTTGTCTGTGCAACCTGCTACTGTTATGCATATGGGGAATAAGGGAAGTGGTTAATGGGATGTTTATTGATGATGGCTACATAAACAACATACAGATACTGAAGAAGATTTTAGCGAACAATAACTCTCTTTCCGAGATGAGGAGCTGGCCTTAGCTAAGAATCTTAAGAGTTTTTTTTGTCTTCATGTCATCTTTCTGCCACGGGTCTCCAAAGTTTTCATTTTACCTCTGTGTTTCCAAGTCAGGTGGTGATGGTTCTCCTCCCCCCTCTTCCTCTCCTCACCTTTTCCTTTTCGTTTTGTCCTTCCATTCTTCATCTAAAATCACATGTTGCACATTTTGCAAAGTACTGTTCTTCTGGGAATACCTTCAGCTAATGGGAAGATTCAGGAATGGAATAGAAACATGCAGGATCTGGTTTGGCTTTGTTGTGGCCTTGACTAACATTACAAAGCTGTAATTGCATCCTCCCTGTCCCTGGCTGATGAGCAGGCTTACTTAGAACAGTGGCTGTAATTTTTGCCCTGAGTGCCTTTTAAACCATACAAATACAAATTAATTGCTTTCACACAAATGTAAAGCAGGGGAAGCCCAGTAATTTAAAGCTTTATTTATCCTGACAGTCATTTCTTCTGCACTGCTAAGTACATGATCCTTTTGATGAACTGTGTTTGTCATAGGCATCTTTAAACAATAAAATTAGAGATCTCCTAATGTTGCAGAAGCATATGGTGTTCTGTAGCTGTAATAGGGCATTCTGGGTAGCTGGTTAACATTACATGGAAAATACTTGTTATTTTTTAAAGTGTAGATTTTGTTTCCAAACCCACTTTATATTTAAGATGCATGAGCTGGTTTTCATTGACTTTTTGCAATAAATACTCCAGATTTAAATCAGTTTGAGTTTTAGACCTGTCAAAAATTGATGGTCCTTTGAAATGACAAATATATTCCATACCCTGATCAAATCAGGTTAGAGCCTGTCCTGTCTACATTCTCTCCTACCTGCACCCTGACCAAGTGACTTAAGGAGGATGAGGACTCTGTTGATGAAGTTCTGTTTAGATGGCAAGTGGCTGATGGTAGTGGTTAACTTTGAGGTTGCTGTCTTGGCATTGTGGTGCTGGTTGTTATTACAAGATCTGGTTCCCACATATCTGATCTTCAGTTTTTACTGATATATCTGGATATTCCCACTGACTCTTCTGTCTTCTGTTATCTTCAGTAGTAAGTCTTCATGTGACAAGATGCTGAATTATGTGTATTTGTTCATCTGTTGGTGAAATCATGAAATTTTGGGAAAGTCATCTTCATTCTAGTATTAAGACTAATTACTATTGGTCTCCTAGAAAAGAAATGTAGCATGACTTTAGCCAGTAGATAGGCTGTTGAAAATTGTATTGCAAGGCTATATGTGTATTATTATGTATAAAAAGTTATATAGGGATAGTGTTTAAAATAGAAGTGAAACCATTATTAATGTATATTCCCTAGAATGGTAATTTTATCACTCTGAGGAAGGCGGGGGTGTTTGTGTCTATAGATATGTACACACTTCTTCTGGAAGAAGGTGCTCTGTCAAAGAAGGTAGCAGTCTTGGATTATGTGTAACAAAGTTTGGGTGCTGAGGGCCAGATTGAGTTGAACTTGGAGTGAAATTTGTTTCCTTTAACTACTATTTAATTTAAAATCTGAACCACTGATGATACAGGCTGTCACATGAGAAAGAGGGGAGAAAAAAAAAATCCACCATCTGGAATGCCTTCTAGGGATTTTATTCCTTTGGAAAAAGCCATCATTTGTGTTCTTCTTTTAATAAGACTAGATTAAACTAAAATGAGGGGAAAGTGCAAGAAGGGAAAGGGAATTCCCCATTAGATTTCTCATTTGATTCATAATTTATTGTCTGTATAGTTTCAACTGCTAGCACCACAGAACAAATCAAACACTTATAGGGATTGTTTCCTCACTGATGTGTGAATAAACCTTTTTTAGCCTTAAGCTTGAAATTCTTAAAGGCAGTTGAAATTTTGTTGTAATTGTAAGATGCTTTATGGAATTGGCAGTACTTCTTCAAGCAGTACTGACTTGGGCTACTTTTTTAAGGCATTAAATACTGTTCAATGAATAAAAGATGGTCTAAAATGTTGGGCTTTTAAACTTTCAGGTAAAGAGAAATACTCAGGTAAATAGTAAAAGAAAAGTGAAAACAGTAAACACTTGGGTAAGCATTAAAAAGTCATCTTCATTTTTGTTTTGCTTTTTCAGAGTTTACAGTTTTGATCTAGTGTAATTTGATTTTTGTTGATACTAGAAGTAGTTAATTGTACCGACCTGGTCCTTGAACAACATATGAAGAATTCTAACTATTGTTTTCCCAAAAGTGGATTTGATTTTTTTTTTTAAATATGTCACAGTGTAGCTCATGTTACCAGAGCATTTTTCCAGATGCAGCGTGAGCTATGTATGACTTGCATACTGTGACTCAGCAGGTATTACCTCTATTTCAGAATTCCTATGTATGAAATGTTTTCCCTAGTTGTGTTTGAGTTGGGGCTTGGTTGTGGCATCAGCTGAGGGCTTGTTGAACACTGAGCAGTGGCTCTTCCTTGTGCTGTGTGACAGTAACAGGTGTCCTTTCTTACTCCTAGAACAACAACAACCTCGATGCCTGTTGTCGAGCCCTTGCACAGGAGAGCAACAAATACCTGTACATGGAGTACCACAGCCCTGATGACACCAGAATGAACAGAAATAGCCTTTTGCACATTAATCTGGGTATTCATCCTCATACCAGCTATCATGCGGGGGATGGAGCTCAACTTAATGGTGGTCGTACACTGGTACACAGCTCAAGCGATGGACACATTGACCCTCAGCGCACAGCAGGTAAACAGCTCATCTGCTTAGTTCAAGAACCACATTCTGCTCCTGCTGTCGTGGCAGCTTCTCCTAGTTACAATCCATTTTTCATGAATGACCAGAATAGAAATGCAGCTACTCCTCCTCCACAGCCACCTCCACAACCATCTTCCATACAACCAGGAATGAACACGTCTGCTATGCAAGGCCCTCCTCCCACGTATATGCACATACCTCGGTACAGTACAAATCCCATTACTGTTACAGTATCACAAAACCTCCCCTCTGGACAGAGCGTACCCAGAGCTCTACAAATTCTTCCACAGATTCCAAGCAATCTTTATGGGACTCCTGGCTCTATTTATATAAGACAAACATCTCAGAGTTCTTCAGGACGACAGACTCCTCAGAATACACAGTGGCATTCATCGCCACAGGGCCCAGTTCCACATTATACTCCCCGTCCTCTACCTGTATATCCACATCAACAGAACTACCAACCTTCTCAGTATTCTCCAAAACAGCCCCAGATCCCTCAGTCGGCTTTTCGATCGCCACCGGCGTCCCAGTGTCCCTCTCCCTTTGGCTCTCCTCAGCACCAAGTTCAGCCTCCTCAGTTGAGTCATCAGAGTTCACATGTTTTCATGCCTCCCAGCCCTTCAACTGTCCCACCCCATCCATATCAGCAGGCATCCCAGACTTTTCAAAAACAAGGCAGTCACTCTGTGTCGTACCTTCCTCCTTTTGCTGGACCTAGTTTATCCAAAGGTTCCATGAATAAAATAGAAATTACAGTTGAGCCACCGCAAAGACCTGGGACTGCAATGAACAGAAGCCCTTCACCAATAAGTAATCAACCATCTCAACGAAACCAGCACCCGCTGTATACAGCCACTACTCCTCCTTCAAGCTCTCCATCAAGAGGTATGTCGGGGCAACCCAAACCTCCATTTAGTGTTAATCCAGTATATATTACCTACACTCAACCAACTGGACCTACAGGTGCACCAACACAGTCTCCTCGGGTAATGGTATCTCAGCCAAACCCAACCATTTTTAAAATCACAGTAGGTCGAGCACCGACTGAGAATCTTTTAAATTTAGTGGACCAAGAAGAGCGTTCTGCAGCACCAGAACCTATTCAGCCTATTTCTGTAATCCCAGGATCTGGAGGAGAAAAAGGAAGCCATAAATATCAGAGAAGTTCTAGTTCTGGATCGGACGACTATGCTTACACTCAAGGTAAATGTTTAACCCTGCAAACTGTGGTGTTGTAAAATGCATTTTCACCTTGATTTTACTACTTAGTAAGTGAGAATTTTGGAACCTTTACAGAGAAAAATAGAAATTGCACCAAAAATCACGGAATGAGTTTGTTCTGATTTTTAAAAAAAAATTAAGTTGCAGTCTAATGAATAAAGAGTTTCTGAGGGTCTTAAAGTTGCTATGCTTTTGGTGTTAAACAAAACACTGAAGTTTAGAGTAAGTGGTGTCTTCATAAACTGTTTGTCTGGTTTGTAAATTCTTCTTGAAGAATTGTCATAAATTTACATGTGGATTTTTAAAACTTTGGTATTTGTTCCATATTCAAATGTGTTATAAGACCTGAAGCACTGGTTTCTGCATTTGAATCCAATTTATTTGGTGTAGATTGAAAAATACTCAGTGCAAGATGAGAGAGGTAGGATTGCAACTAAAAAAACTTTATCAATACCAATAAGAATTTTGTTTTGAAAGGTATTAAAATAATTATTTTGAAGAACTTAATCAAAAGTTCTCTTCTCCCACACAGTTTTCATAGACGAGGAAGATACTGGCAGACAAATTTTAGGATGTGTGTTCTGCCATGTAGGGGTAGAACATAGTTTTAATGCCATATATAAATGAAGAATTCAGTAATACAGTAAAGAAAAAAAAAAAAGGTGAAATTTACCAGAAATTTTAGCTGAATACTTTTCTTGGAGTCATCTGCTGTGTAGATTTGAATAATTTAAAACTGAGCAAATTAATCAGTCTGCAAGTCATTTGGGGTAATGACAGGTTGATGACCAGCAACAATTATTTTCCAGATTTGTGTTTGGAGAAGAGAGTTTATTCCTCTGTTATTTCTTCTATCCATTTTTAACTTCAGAGAGCTGAAATAGTGCTAGTTCGTACCTGGTAGACCCAATTAGAAATTCTTTAGACCCAATTCTTCAGTAAGAAAGATTGCCAGTAGGTCTGTAGTGCTGACTCCACGTGTTTGGTAATGTCCCTATTACAGCTTCCTTGAACAGTTCATTTATGTGAGAAAGCTACAAGTAGCTTCACATAGCTTTGAAAACCACATTCTGAAATGTAGAAATCTGGTTCTGCCTTTGTGCCTTTGACTAGATTTTTGTGTTTGGAAAACAAACTCAATAGAACTAGTTAGTATATGCTTTTGGGAGCACTTGCACTTGTGGCAATACCTACCAGAGTCTTTGGTATTGCTGCACTCTGAGTTCTCGGCAGAAATAAATTGTAGAAGAATAAATATATATATTATATTCTTTGCTGCGACAAAAGGAATCCTGAAGAAGGGTATATTTAACATCTTAATACATAGAAAAAGTTTGTTTAATTTTCTCTTTAGTGTGAACCATTGTGAAAAATGTTACCAAAAATTCCTTCTGCTCTCTGTACTTGTACTGTTTCTTTGTAGTATGAGTCATGTTTGAGTTGTACTTTGAGAGTATAATGTGAAGCTGTGAAATGTAGTCATACCATGTTCAGTTGGAGGAATCACACAAAAGACAAGTTTTGGTAATAATAGTGGAAAATCACACAACCTGGTATCTGTACTGTCTCTTCTTAATTCTGTTTGCATGACTATGCTACTTAAAGGAGGAGAGAACAATTTTGTTCAGTAGTACTGGTGCCTGTAGTATAAAAACACCTGATGTTATTCTTGGATAGGATGTTCAGTGTTTTTTCTTTGGCTGTGAATTGTTGAATCCATACAAAATCCAAAGTATAGTGCTACATTTTTGTGCAGAAAACTGACTGTATCTGATAAGAAAGCCCTTATTTTAATGCTCCTGATTGAGGGTTTGTTTGTTATTCTGCAGTAAGTTGTGTCATGTTGTCGTTTATTTGTCTAACTTCTTTTTAGCTCACATGCAAATACTCTTGAGATATTATGTGCTTTTTCTTTGCCTTTGTTGGATAGGGATAAAAAAAAAAGGGCAAGTGCTGCCTGGGCCTTTTATGAAATTGAATTTTGCAGGTTCTACATCATCTTTATTCCGAACCGTTTGCTGGAACATTGTTACATGAGCAGCTTGTTTTTCTGAATACCCACATCAAATGTCTTATTTTTCTCTGTCCTAGCAGACTTCAATCAGGTAAAACCAGCCAGATCAGAAAGGATTAAGCATCACAGTAACTTGGCCAGTTTTACATCATCATGAAATACTGAGAAATGCTCTTCCTGAGGAAACTATTATCTTTTAGGGAGTCAGAATTTTTTCTTTGGTTCTCTGGGAGCCCAACATCAACTTGTGACAGTCATAAATTTCAGTACCAAGACAAAAATGAGAGAATGACTAACAGCAGAGAGAGGTGAGAGGAATCAGCTCTGTTATAGAATTAGAGTCTGAAGCACCTAAACTTACCCCACTTTTTTATTTCCTGGATTCTCTAGGCTATTTTGTTGAAGTTCTATAGTTTTGCCTTTGAACTCTGGGGAACTTAAAGTATTGAATAGTTCAGTATTCCTGAAAAGCTGACTGCTTAAAGTTGTTGTAGCATACTCTGTGATAGCAGTGGAAAAAAAACAGTTCAGGACTGACATCAAACCTTGGCTGATGTCTCAAGGCTGGTGTGTCAGCTGCTGTTGAGCAGCAGGCATGAAGTATGTGTTACCTTCTGATCTTACCTCTGGTATTTTTATTTTTTTTTGTCAGTAGAGTATTAGTATGACTAGGTTGCTGTTTCATCCTGAGAAGCTGTCTCCTTGTACAGGTGCCTTTGTATTTTTGAGACGAGAAAGACCAAATGCAAAAAAAGAAGCTTTGACCAAAATGGTAATATCTACTTCAAGTTATTGTCTAAAAATGTGTCTTTATTCTGGAAGAACTGTGTTCTAAATTGTAGTTCATTTGGCATGAAAGCATCTTCACACTGATACTTGGCTGCATGTTTACAATCACTTTTTTTTTTCCAGAAAGGTCACTCATGAATCTTATGCATAAGTTAAGAATTCAGTTTTCCAGGTTTTTATGTGTTAGTAACTGTTTCTTCTATGTAAAACATTAGCCTTGCTGTTACATCAACGAGCAAGGATGGAGAGATTAGCAAAGGAACTGAAACTGGAGAAGGAAGAACTTGAACGGCTGAAAACCGAAGTCAATGGCATGGAGCATGATCTAATGCAGAGGCGGCTTCGAAGAGTGAGCTGTACAACTGCAATACCAACAGTAAGCAATTTGTTAGTATTTTAATTCAACATACAGATTTATTTTTTATTTTCCAATGAACTAAAGTTCTGTACAAAAACTCTTGAGTATAAAATCATGAGTTTTGGAGATAATTTATTGTAATTTCTTGACTTGCCGTGAGGTAGTTCTTGTAATTTATGAATTATGTTCAGCTTTCTTAGTGTTCACAACAGAACTTCTGAAAGTTGAATGCATGTGCTTTTGGGGACTGCAGAACTGAATACAGTTGCTTCCCTAACAACTTCTAAAAGTATATCCAAGTCTGCCCAATGAACCTGAGCCATATAGTGCTTAGTGTTCACGCAGGAGGGTTTAACTTTATTTTTAAAAGGTACTTTGGAGTAGTTGTATCTCATAGATGGTATTTCTCATCTGGTTTGTGCAGGATGTGCCAAGTAACTTCTCAGTGGCAGTGTTGGCTCAAATAGTTGGCACCTCCCTCTCCTGTTTTCCTTGTTGATTCTTCTTATCTATGTGACTTCCACCTGCAAGTGACTGTAGCTCAAACAACTGTATGGCTCTGATAAGGGAGTTCATGTGGCTGAAAAATAGCTTCCACTGCGTGCAGTTCTTATCCAAATCGCTTCAGACTTGCTCACTGTGTTGACATAAGCAGTGCACACAGGTGTGGGCTGGAAGGCACAGTAGGGGCTGTTGGCTGTTTAACTACTGTGGCTGCTGTGTGTCTCACCTGTCTCAGGGCAGCATTTGGCAGGAATGTCCCTGGGAGAAATGCAGAGGCACTGAGTGTGCAAGGCTGAGGTTGGGAAAACCAAAGCCCAGCTGGAGTTGGATCTGGCATGGGATGTCAAAGACAAAAGGAAGGGCTTCTCTTACAGGAAGCCCAGTGAAAACGTGGGCTCAGCAAGATGGGGGACCTGGTTACATAGAACATGGAAAAGGCTTGAGATACTGAATGACTTCTTTGCCTCAGTCTTTACAGTGCTTCAGGAATCCCAAGTTCCAGAGACTTTAAGAAAACTGTGAAGCAGAGAAGGTGTACCCTTAGTGGAAGAGAATCAGGTCAGGGAATACTTAAGCAAAGCAGACATACATGAAGTCATAATCCTGGATGAGATACACCCTTGAGTACTGAGGAAGCTGGCAGATGTCATTGCAAGGCCACTCTAGATAATCTTTGATTGATTAATAATGTGGGGGAAAGTGCCTGAAGACTAGAGGAGAGCAAATACTACTGTTCTCAAGAACGGGAAGACCCAGGAAACTACAGACTGGTTAGCCTCACCTTCATCTTTGGGAATGTGATTGAGCAGCTAATCCTGCAAGACCGTTCCCAGGCACGTGAAGGACAAGAAAGTGATCAGCATGGATTCACCAAGGGGAAGTCAAGCATGACCAATTCGATAAACGTCTAGGATGAAAAGTCTGTCCTAATGACCTAGGTAGTCAGTGATTATTGTCTGTCTAGATTTTGGTAAGGCTTTCAGCATTGTGTTCTGTATAGTCTTCATACAGAAGCTAATAAAGTGTGGGCTGGGTGAGCAGTGAGGTTGATTGAAAACTGGGTGAGCAGCCAGGCCAAGAGTGTGGTTGTCAGTGGCACAAAGTCTGGTTGGAGGCTTGGCAGAGGGGTTGGACCAGGTGTCCTCCAGAGGTTCCTTTCAACCTCAGACATTGTGTGATTTCGTGACTCTGATGCCAGAATGCGTCCTGGGATAAGATAGTTATTCCTACATAGGTATTAGTAATCAGTGCTGCTAGTATTAAGAATGCTTCATATTCCAGTAACTTAGGGGTTCTTAATGATATGCAAATATATGGACTTAATTGATTACTGTTAAGAATAATTACCATCCTTCAGCAATTGAATGATTTAAATATACTGTTTAAATAGAATGTTTGGCTTCTTGAAGCTCCTTGGGGTGATGCAAATAAACTTTTGACCTTAGTTTTAATCAAGTAATAATTAAGGTGGGCCGTAGCTTGTATTCTGCTTTCTAGTCATCTTGATGCAAACTCAGGTAGCAAGCTGTCAATTTAGAGAGTTTTATAAGGTGTGTGGTTTTGTAAACTTGAGCTCAGCTGTATTGTCTTACTAACCAATTTTAGTATTAAGTAACTTGTTTGTTTTCCTCCTCACATGCCAATAGAAGAATGTTTTTTGAGAGCAAATTGGGTTTTTTCAGTGCCTTATCTACACTCAGTTTCTAATAAAGCTGTTAACAAAGATATAGCAATTTTATTTCTATTTCAAATAAGATGCTGATTTTCCCACAATGACTATTTTGGGTTGTTTCTTTATAGCCTGAGGAAATGACCAGATTGAGAAGCCTCAACAGACAACTCCAAATAAATGTTGACTGTACACTGAAAGAAGTTGATCTCCTTCAATCTAGAGGTATTAACTTGATACTTTTTTAAAAAAAATGGATATGGTCAGGAATGTTGATCTGCTGGAGGGTAGGAAGGCTCTGCAGAGGGATCTGGAGAGGCTGGAGCGATGGGACGCGGTCAGTTGTGGGAGGTTCAAAAAGACCCAAGTCCTGGGTCCTGCACTTCAGTCACAACAACCCCAGGCAGCGCTCCAGGATTGGGGAAGAATGGCTGGAAAGCTGCCCAGAGGAGAAAGACCTGGGGAGTGCTGGTTGACAGTGGCTGAACATGAGCCAGCAGAGTGCCCAGGTGGCCAAGAAGACCAATGACATCCTGGCCTGTATCAGCAATAGTGTGTCCAGCAGGACCAGGACAATGATTGTCCCCCTGTACTCGGCACTGGTGAGGCCTCACCTTGAATCCTGTTTTCAGTTTTGGGCCCCTCACTACAAGAAGGACACTGAAATGTGGGAGCGTGTCCAGAGGAGGGCAGTGGAGCTGGTGAAGGGTCTGGAGCACAAGTCCTGTGAGGGGGGATTGAGGGAGCTGGGGGTGTTTAGCCTGGAGAAAAGGAGGCTCGGGAGATTTCATTGCTCTCTGCAACTGCTGTAAGGAGGCTGTAGCCAGCTGGGGGTTGGTCTCTTCTCCCAAGTAATAAACGACAGGATGAGAGGAAATGGCTTCAAGTTGTTCCAGGAAAGGCTTAGTTTGAATATTAGGGAAAATGTCTTCTGGGAAAGCATTGTCAAGCACTGGAACAGGCTCCCCAGGGAAGTGGTGGAGTCACTATCCCTGAAGGTATTTAGGAATCCCATTGATGCGGTGCTTGGGGACATGGTTTGTTGCTGGACTTGGCAGTGCTGGTGTAATGGTTTGTCTCAGTGATCTTATGGGTCTTTTCCAACCTAAAAAAGCTCCTTTGTGAAGATCCTTTACTTAAAATTTTAACTTTTTGCTGACAGAGGCTTTGGCCAAGTAATACCGAACAGAACTGCAGGTTGCAACCAAGAAATTGGCGAACAAAAATCTACTGAGGTCTTTCAAAATCTTTTTTGCAACACAAACTTGTCATAAATAGAATCAAATAGATTAGAATATGCCCAGTCTTCCTTTTTTATCAAGGAAGTATCCTATAGAAAGATTTACATTTCACAGAGCAATACAAAACATTGAGCTGGAGCTGATTCTTCAGTATGGGATTACCCTGCTAAAAATGAAAATATGTGTCGAAACTTGTGAAAAAGCTAAGAGATAATATTGTTATAAAAAGATGTATAAAATCAGAAGCCTCTAGATGTTCATATCATGGCATAGGAATTTAAATAACCTTCAAGTTGCACTTTTCTTTTCTGACAGGAAACTTTGATCCGAAAGCCACATGTAACTTCTATGATAACATAGAGCCTGGTCCTGTTGTGCCACCAAAGCCATATAAAAAGGGTAGGTTAACAAATATGCACCAAGTTACCTAATCTTCATTGAGAGGATATTTTTATTTTTAAGAAAATCCCTGTGGTGAAAGCAAGTAATTCTACTTATTTAACTTTTCTTTCTATATAAATCAAACAAGAACGCTTTTATGTAAGTGCACTAATCTTGGCTACAATTTGTTTTCCTCAGGCAGATTGTTGCAAATGAATGTTCTGTTAATACCTTGACTGTAAATACTGTTATTCACTATTAGAAAAAGAGCTGAAAATATACAAATTTTTACGTGTTTACTTGAGCTTCCTAATGTTTTTCTCTTTTAAAGACTTCTAGGTTAAAAGTTCTATGTCAGGTTTTTTTAGTTGTCCTCTAATATATGTTGTTAGGATTTTATAGTTTAGTTGGAGTCTTTTATACAGATTTAGTTGGTCACAGCAGCTTTTAAAATTTGTGTTTAGATTCTTAGTTATATTTTAACTTGCCTGATCTCTCTCTTTTTCTGCACAGTATGAATTTCACAGTAGCCTTGAAATTTTAGCACAGCAAGAGCTTCAGATATTTTAAGAACCAAGGAGGACACTTCCTCACATTGGTCGAAAGAGATAAGTGTCCTACTTGCATAGGTTCATTAATTTTCAGTGCTAATTATGTAGTATCAGGATTAATATACAGTACAGGACACTTGAGTTTTTTGTAAGCATAGGAGCTATGTAATTTAGTCTCACTTTTTGTCCAGTGGAGATTCAGTCAGTGCATGCTAGAGTGACACAACACACCCCAAGCAGGCACAGTCGCTGTGTAGCTCAGTAAGTTCCTGAAGTCAACCGTGTTTAGTGGTAATTTCAGATCAGAACCCTACCTTTTGTCTCAGTTTTTTTTTTTTTAACCTATCTTTTTCTTACTATAATCTGTTAAAAGAATGGTTTTAAATATTAGTGGAAGTTTTTAAATATACCTTGTAACTTTCTGCTGAAGTAGCCAGTCTGGGGTCCTATACTCTGACATAGAGCTTTCTTTTCTCTGAAATTGTTGTGTGATAAGGTTCATAGTATTGTGTCTCCTCTTACTGTAACTGGCATGTACTGCACTTGTTAGTGGAAAAGAAGTAGCTCTTCTGAATCAGTAATTATATAGACACCTTGACACTATGAATTTTCTAAATAAGTTCTGGTTGCTGATAAGCACTTCACAAAGGTTTCTGTAGTTGACTTTTGAATTCACATAGTAAAACTTTCCCTCTCTTTTGAAACAATGTAATAAAACTATTACTGCGTGGAAATTTTAAAAGAAAGAGAGGGCTCAAAACTGCTGTTTGTGGTTTAAAGAAAAAATAAAACTTGAGTGAGTTCCCTGCACTGGTGGTAGTGTCCAGGAAAGCTGGGAGCAGCAGGTGAGCCATGGTGTGAAGGCAGCCGCCTGGATTCATATTAAATTGCAGAGATCATGTGGTTGATTTAAGGAACTGTTACTCTGTGGTGCTTGAAGGGATTCTCTTACTACACTAGCTAATTTGATTTATTATTTCAAAGCAAACTAATGTGCAAAACTTGAATTAAATAAATTGTATTTGGCAGTTGGAAGGATAACGCCTTGTAAGGATTTGTATCTACTTCCCAGACTGCCTTCCCAGTTTTGCCTGTCAACTTATTAGAGTTCAGTTTTAGGGCCGGCCTACTGTGTTCTGAGCTTGGCTTTTAACATGATGACATTAGAAAGATTTTTTTGTTTGTTTGGGTTTTTTTCTTAAATAATAAATATTCTTTAACGTTCAGCTGTTGAAGGTGGGCGGGCAGACGGGTGTGGGCAGACAAGGGTCTGCTCTGTGCTGCCGTCTGGCCAGTCAAGTGCCCACACTGCCCCTTGCTTAGGACGAGTTTGTCGAGTTCAAGCACCCTTAATGTGACTGCACAGCGTCTGGGCTGGAGAGTGCTTGCATCGAAGTGAGGAGGTCACTTTTATTTCCTTTGTCTCACTACACAACTACTTCTAAAATCTACACAAGTTAAAAAAAAAAACAAAAAACAAAACAAAAAAAAAAATACCCCAAGGCATCAAGACAGACCTGAGTACTGTTTGCACTGAGGTTGTCATCAGCTGTCTTTTTAGCAGATGGGTCAGCAACGTGTTCTTTATGTGCTGCTGCAAATTACTTTGTGTGCAGCTGCAAATTGCAGGCCTTTGTTACACTTAAGTTCTGTTTTAATAAAGCTGCTCTACAGATGTTTGTTTAGCAGATGGGTGTCTTAACCTTACCTTCTAGGTATGTGTTATTGTTGTTTTGAATGTTAACATTTTGTGCAACATTGTGCTCCCACATCCTGGGACTATTTATCACTTTTAGTAGATAACCTGAGGTCTTGAAGTGGTGGTAGGAGATGAGGAAAACCAAGTCTTCCCGTGGGTTAAGACCTAGTGTATGATTTGCATACATACTGATATGAATGAAAGCAGACTTAAATGCTGCTTCCAATGTACAGATTCCTGCTGCAAAGCCGTGAGGAAGAAAAGTAATTATCTTATTTTGAAACAGGCCTATTGTTTTATTTTTATATTGCATTTTTTTCAGCCTGGATAAATGCTAGAAAAGATGCAGAAAAAGTGTCATCTGTCAGACTGAAGAATCTAAGTTAGAAGTAGTTTTTCACTTCAGGTAAAGTAGGGCTATTGGAATTTAAAATCTGGTAATAGGCTGCTCTATGTAAGCCTGTGAAGTCATTCCTTAACAGGATGGTGTTGCAGTGCCAGTAACAAACTTGTATGTTTTAAGCCAGTAAACCTTGAGCGGTATCAGTGACCCAGCAGTGGTGAGTGCTCTTTTTATTTTTAAGATGTTTTGGATAAGTGACTCTTTACAGATGTGAAATACTTTCAATATTCAGATTTCACAAACTGAATTAGAAGTGCTTTAGGAAAAGACCTTTAATGGTATGGTTTCCGTGTTCATTTTAAAATAGACTGTTAAATTAGGTAACCAACCAGAATTATGATCTTGACAATCATCCTTCTCTCCTGAAATAAGATTTTTTCTTTTGGCTTTTCTTTAGAGCATCAAAATAGCTCCAAACAGACTCCACGGACTCAGCCAAGAGATGAAGACTTTGAAGGGGCTCCATGGAATTGTGGGAGCTGCACCTTTCTAAATCACCCAGCACTGAATCGCTGTGAACAGTGTGAGATGCCACGATACACCTGAAATTCAGGAAGGGGCTGCATTGGGTTGAAAACAGGCTCTCAAGCCGACAGCTGTAGGAGAAGGAAACATGGGGAACCTTTCAGTCCATCTGCCCAGCCTTTGCCAGTCAACAATCTTCGTATTGCAAGGGGTGGGAGTAACATGTTAAGATGTTTCTGCTTCTGCTACACTAAAAGATAAATAATTTAAGGGTTAAATTCTTTCCCATTGCAGTGAGTGGAGCAGAAAATGAAACCTGAAAATGCAAAAGGATTAATTTTGAGAAGAATGTATGCAGGAAAGCAAATAACTACTGGTGTTTAGTCCTGTGGTTATAGTTGCTGCTTAGTGGCTCTAAAAAACAAAACAAAACAAAAAAACCCAAACCTACTGTTTTTTTAAAAAAAAATTATAGGACTCTTAGTAATGGTGTGAAGTGTTACACTTAACCAGAAAAACTGAAGAGCCAGAGCTGACTTATCCTGGCCCCAGCTAGCTGGAAAACAAAGGCTCCCTGTGCTTCTAGATTGTAAGCTACTGAAAAAGAAGACAGGTAAATGCAACAATAAATTTCGCAATGTTTAAACAAACAAACAAAAAACCAACAAGGAGAAGGGTATCTGTAATTGCTGCTTTTTTTCAGGGTAACTTATGTCTACAAAAAATTGCTGTTTGAAATAGTAACCTGAGGTGACTAAATGAGAAACCATGTGAGTGTTACAGAGAGTTTAATCAGAGGTAATTTTTTACAATCCTGTTTGCTTGTACAGTGCTCACCTGGCTGTGTCAACACTGGTAATAAACCGAGAATGAATTCTACCACATTACAGATGCAAATACTGCTGCATGCTTTCATTGGGCCGTCGTGTTTCAAAGCTAAAAGTATGCTTTTGTATACAACAATCTTCTAAGCCTGTGCTGTGTGACAGCACAGGGACATGCCAAACATGGGCTACTCCAAATTCTGTTTGGAAGACTTGAGCTCAGCCATGGTTGTGTATGAGAAGAGTTTCTACCCAGTTCCTTAGGCCTTTTCAGCCTCCAATTTGTGAAGAATTCATGATGTTTACAGCACAGAAGGTACTTTGTGCCCCAGATCAAAGTTAGCTGAAAAAATAATTAATCAGCTCTTCAGTAAAGGTTTATTTGCACATTGGTAATAAACCAGCCTGTACAAAATAACAGATGCCAGATCCTGAAAAAATTACACACTGCATTCTCTTTATTTTGGTCAGGAAATACTTGTGGTAGGTTGAAGAACACGAGACTTGCAACTGAAAATCATATTGGTACTTTTCTGCATATGAAATACTGTATTATAAAGGTGATGTCCAATCTGTTTGAATGCTTCAGGTTGCTGTAATAAAACACTCGATACTTGTGAACTCGAACTTGGGTTTGGGCAGCTGAATGATTGTGACACAACTGTGTGACTGAGTGGGATGTTCCTGTGTACTGGTCAGAGGCTGGTACAGTGCATTTGAGTTTTTATGGTGTAACTTCATCACAATTCAGACGTGACCAAGCACCTCAGCTGAGTTATGGTAATTGACTTTGCGACTGTAAGGCAAAATTTGCCAGCTAAACCTTGCCAGGGGAGTTTTAAGCTGCTTCTTTTTAAGCCGTTCTTAGCTCGTGGCAGCCGCATCCATATGGTCAATTACCACAGTTCACTTGATGTGTGATAACATGTTAAGACGTGGTAGAACAATCATGTGTCTGAATCCTTATTTAAAATGAAGCAGTATTTGCCAAGGGGTGGGTGGAGGAAAACTCATCTTTACTGCGTTGCTCAATCTGTTGTCTTCTCTCCCCACAGTTTATAAAGACAACAGTAAGAACCAAACTGTTGGTCTTAGAAGAGGAACCAATATTTTATCTGGTGTTTTTCAATATGTTCTTGCACTAATTAAATCTTCAGGATAATTCTGAATAAGCTAGGAGAGATCCAGCAATCAGTGTGCACCGCTGATGAGCAAAACAAAGTCAAAGGCATCAGAGATAGCTTTCCTTCCTTCCTGATGACTTATACTTCTCTGGGGGGAGCTCATCACATGTGGAAAGCAGTAAAAAAATTACTGTGAAATGAAATCAGAAGGCAGATACCAATTTTGTGCATGTCAGTGGGCAGTCTGACAAAACTGAGATAACTAGAAAACAGATGAGCCAGAAGCATAGCTGTTATCAGCTGTATAATGAATTACCCAAAACAATACCAGTAACTTCATGACTTTTCTATCCTGATGCCTTTGCCTTTGTATTATTTCAATTTTCTTTTCATTTATACTTCTGTTGAAGTTCTGGAAGCACTTGTTTTTGCTGGAACTACAAAAAGATAGCAACTGCAGTGACAGTCAGCAAATGAGAGTAGATCTTTCAAGCAAAAATATGATTGTGCCATTTTCAGAGAGAATAGATGCTACTCTTGAAGGGGAGGGGGGGGAAATATGCATCCAGTCCAGTAATTCCCTGAACTGCAATAACCACACATGGAGACTTGCAAATCTTAGTCCAGCTTCACCAGAGGAAGAGAAGGAAGGGCTGCCACGACAGCAAGATACTTTGTGGAAGAGTGGGCAAGTGCCATTAAACTGAAAAAGAATTCCTTTGTACGAATAATTTTACTCTAGTTTTTCAAGTACTCTCATTTGTTGCTTGTACAAAAAAGAAAGAAAAAAACACCCACACTTTTCAGTTTTATTCTTTTACTTGTAAATGCCCATACTCAAACATGAATAGTAAAGAATTTACATGGTGCTTCAATATTTGTGGTTTGTTAGAATGTAAATTTTATTTTGAATATGGGAAGATCCATTTTCGTTCTGAAAGCAGGTGATGTCCTTCACATCCCAACTGAATTGTAGATTATACCAAAAAGATTGGTTTATGTAATATTTATTGAATGCACATAAAACCCTAATGTCAGCTGGCATACAAAATGCACTGTATTGTATACAACCTGTGTGTGTGTGAGAATGGTGGGATGCTGATGCTGTTGTGTTGAGTTAATGCACTACTTGTGTTTTCTTTTTTCCTTAATGACTGAGCTTTCCCTCAAACATGCTACTAGATTGGTGGAGTTTGTAACTGACTTGGACGTTCAGTTATTCAAAATGATCTCACTGTTCATTGAAATTTTATAAAGCTTATTTTATATTTACTGTGCTATTAAGATGAATTCCCTTTAATTATAGGATACTACTGTAGTTCTTTAAAAGTTTATTTAGAGTGGGGCTTGTGGAAAACTATTCAGAACATAGTAAACCAAAAGACATCCTGAACTTTGGATCTGCTTTTCATTTGATGTAATTATTAGTCTTGTTTGGGTGAAGAGAAAAAGGGTGGGAAGTCAAGCAAAAGGAAGTACTTTGTAAAATGTAGTCTTAGATCAGATTGAATTGTGTATCTGTGTGTCTGTGGTATGTGTGTGTTTCCCTTGAAAAATGGGAGGTGTGGTGAAAAGGTGTAATAATTCTTAAAAGAGCTGGTCTCAGTACTTTATGATATGCTACTGAATCACATTTAAAAAAAAAAAATCCAACTTTTCTTTCAGTTACTTTTTCTGTCCCAGCTATACATCTCTCACTTCAATTCCTAAATACTTTTAATATTGATTGTAAAATCCCTTGAAACAGAAATAGAAATACTTGAGTTGAAATGGGGACAAAATAAAACCAATAAAGAATGTTTTAAAAAAGAATGTGAGAATATTAAATATGTTAAAAACAGGCTTGTCCTCAGGATGATAGTTTTTATTTTAGAATCCAGTGGTGTACCCTAGAATGTGAAAATGACTATCCTGATGTGGACAGTTTGGGCATAAACAATTGAAGAGCTCATGTGGTACCACAGAATTTACGTACTCTGTACTTCATGGCTCCAAATCCCACAAGGAAAGAAGGCACAGATATCACATCTTGTAGTCAGTGCTGTCTCTATGTGCTGCTGCATTTGTTTTTGTTTCAAAATGTCAATATTATATGAACCCAGACATGACTGAATTTTGCCACATTTCTTCAGTTGGGGCTTTCATTGCTGTCCATGTCCATAAATGCAAATATTTTTCTTGGATTTGAATAATCAGAAATAAGTGGAGTTAATGCAATATCATAATCCTGGATTTCCAGTACCTTTGAAACCAATTTTAAAAAAACGTGTTCTTGAAACTTATTTATTTATGGTGGCACCAGTGTATCTAATCCATACTTCCTGCTGTGTGAAACCCTGTTAAATTTTTTCATTAAAAAGAGACACGATCTTGTTTAATCCTGTATATATGGTGTCTACATTCTAGATTTGTGTATGCTGTGAATGAACTTATTACTAAGAGATGAAATTGTATAAAAGCATTCAGAGGCTATGCATGCATGGTACCTCCAGAAAGTGCATACTCCAAGTTGCAGATTCCTGCAGAAATAAATTAATAAAACTAAGCAAACATCACATCCTGCATTTGTCCTTGTATGTAGTTGAAGACCTTTAAAAAATACAGCCATTTTTAGCATTCATAGCCTGATTTGTTTCTGGTCTCCCACTTGAACATTTGTTTCAGGGCTTTTGGGATTTTTGTTTAGGTGACCATTAGGCATTTGCTGAATAACGAACTGGGGTCCAAATCCTGTTCCCACCATCCCTTTTAGATGATGGATATTCTGTGCGGCTTCTGGTATGGAAATGGATGGGATGTTCAGAGTGTGAAGTTGAGCTTACCACTTCTCTCTTACATTTGAAGGGAAAGTTGTTACTAAAGAGGTCACCTTACCTGCTTAGGGCTGGCTGACAGACTTCCCTGCTTGTCAGCAGTAATACTGAGTATCTGGATTACAGAAGTTCATCTCTAACCTCCACAGAAAGGCACTGCTCTGGGAGAGGGTGGAGAATGGGAAATGCACAAATAGGCACTTTATTGGTCTGTCTTCTCAATTATCTCATGTTCTAAACCTTGAAAGCTCCACAGCTGTGCTACAGCCCCGTTTGGCTCCCACACAGTTTGTGATTCGCCACATTCTCATGTAACAAACCGGCTGCAGCTTTGGGTTTGGGCTTTGGTCAGTAAACGTAGGTAAGAATTTAGTTCTGCATTCCTTTTGCTGAGTTGGATTTATCACATTCTCAGGACAGGTTTATATTTCAATTAAGCATTTGATTCTTTTGCTTTAGAAATCATTGTAGTTCAAAAACTATTTTTTTTTTTTGATGTAAAGATACTTGTAAAGTGTATTGTGCTAATGGAGACCGCACAAAGCTAAAAGACTTTTTTGGGTATTTTCCCCTGAAGTCATGAGGAGGAGGAGAATCTGCCTGGATTGCATAAAACTAGTTGATTTATTCCTCAGAATTGCTTGGTTTTGACAGTAGTGAACCTGTGGCTCTTGGAGAGATGATTTGCCCTGTGATCTGGTAAGTATTTCTGGAATTAAATGCTGCTGCTTCTAATCAGTCGGGATGATCCATGGTGTGCTGGATAAGTGCTTTAAATTCTTTAATTGCACCTTCTCTGATTGTAAGTGCACTTTTTGGAAGGAGGTGATTTAGATACCTGATTGAAGAGGTGGACTCAAAGTGTCACATTCTGAATGGGTTACCTGATGTTCTGTGGGAACCTTGTGAAGTTGTTAGAGAAGGGCCTCCGTTGATTTTTAGCTAGAGGGTCAGTGATCGTGGCATGTTCTAGTTTGATAGTAAAAGCCAGGCCAGACCTATAAAAGCCTTTTGCAGGAGCACCACTTTGTTTCACAAAATGATCTATCTCTAGAAAACAGTATATACTGATAAAAAAATAAAAAGTCATAAAATGAAAATACATTAATAAAAAATCCCCTCTCTGCAGATACTTTCTTTCTGGGTAGGCAAGACTTAAAACCTGGTATGTATTTGCTGCTTTTACAAGTTCCATTTTGAAGATACTGACAATTTTCCTTTATTCCTAAACCATTGTGACCATGTTGAAGTTGGCAAAAGCTCTCTTACCAGGTTTGCTTAAAAAAGAAAAGATAGATGGGGTTCTGTTACTGCTTTAGAAACAAAGGAACAAAGCCTGTGAATGAAAGACCTGCAACACAGATGCTGCTTTCCTTTTGAGCTAAAGGCTCCTTATGTTTTTGGAAGTGTTTTAGGAAAAGAAGTTTAGGCATGTGGCAATGGGTTTTCTTTTTAGGAAAAATATGGGCTATTTCAGGGAAAAAAAAAAATTGCTAGTTGACGGAGGTTTTCATAGGTTTGAAAATGATAATTCTGGCTCCAGACTGGTACAGCCCAACAGTGAGTTGTGGTGCACTGGCCCGCTGGCCATCACTTCGCAAGACCTGCCTGCAGGTGAGGCACCCGAGGGGTAGTTGTTACCACAGCAGGAAAGATCCTTGGCCTTTTGGGAAAGAATAAAAAACAACCAAAAATCAGGACCAAACACTCCCCACCCTTGTGGAAAAGGTGGTTCAGGAAATGCCTGAACGTTGTGGAGGAAGTTGGGGCGTCCCTGCCCTGCATCAGAAGTCACAGCTCTATAAATATTCATCCCAAGCTCTCAGGGACTCTGCTAGATTGTTCTCGAGTGTCCTGAGCCAGTCTCGCATATTCTTGACATGGGGGTTTATATTTCATTTCACCTGAAATTACTCTCCTTTTGAGCCTATTCAATTAATTCTAATGACTTGGCAAAGCAGAAGTTACTTTTGGCAATATAAATGAGTCTCTTGGCAAATTACCCTGTGTGCTGGAGAGTGCCCAGTGTCCCTGCCCACAATCCAGATCCACGTGTACCCCTCTGAGCTCCCAAGGAGGGGAAGAATGACAGTCAAATGCACCTTCCAGGCAGATATGTGAGTTTAGAGCAAGCAGGGTCTGAGAGAACTTTGAAGGGAGAACTTGTGGCTTTATGAAGGCTTGTGAATCCTTTCCTCTAATTAAGTTTGTGTACATGATTTACTTTCTTTGTGATGAACAGCTGTGGTGGCCAAAAGCTTTGGTCATGTTTCATCACTGCAGATACTGAAGCCTGATGGCTTGGTTACCATTCCAGGTAACTGATTTTAAATTCTCCTGCTCCATTTGTCTCAAAACTGATTGTTCATAAGCCAAACAGATGTTCCTTTATCTTTTTTCCATTTTTTTTTTTTGACTAATAATGATGACTAATAATGTATGGCCACAAAGCTGCCCCTGCACATCCTTCAACCTCTGGAATCGGAACCTGCAGTAAGTGGGTAACAAGCTGTGTGTACATTCACCACTTCTTCCCAACACTGGTACCTCAGGTCAGTGTTGTATCACAGACAAAGAACCGGATAAATACCTTATTGATCTATAAAACAAATCTTAACACATGTAATTTTGAAACTTACTGCAGGCTTTACCATTGCTTTTTAATGTAACTGAGAAGCAGTCTGGCTGCCTTGACCCTGGTGCCCTCTAAGGAAACTCAAGCCAGTGCTGGTAGGAAGAAAGTGCTGGTAAAACAGCAACTGCCAGCAAAATTTACATACCTTGTGTTGTATATTGAAGTGAGATATTTGAAATAGGCGTATTTTTAAAATATATGTGTTGGACTTAACTTTTTATTTAATCATGTGATAAGTGATTTGTATGCACAACATTCATCTAGTAGTCTGTGTATTACAGTATTAAAACTGAGGGCCATCATTCAAGAGAGTGATAACCAGATCCTTTTTATTTTCAACTTCAGCACTATTAAACTTACCAAACATGCCCTTTAAATATTCTATCATGTTTTCCCAGTTGCTTGTTTACCAGTTCTAGACCAAGATGAAATATATCCTACTTTGGCCGAGGAGGTTCCCCAAGTATTTGTTCCTTAGCTGAGCTTATCTGATGGATAGCAAAATATTTCTAAATGAACAACAGTTCTTGGTGTGGGTGTTCACTGAGTGAGCATTGCCCTCTCTCCAACAGCACTTCTGTAAATGAAGGAGACTCTTAGAAGTGAAATAGATTAACTATGAATGTTTAAAGTCAGCTCTGAGTGTTGAACAGCTGTGTGCATGCAGGATGTGTCATGAAAAATAACATTATTGAAACGCTTGTCTGAGATGTTATTCCATCTGCAGTGGTGGCTGATGCAATTTGTATCCCAGTGCAGGAGCTACTGTTGATGTAGAACTTCAAGTTCTCTCTGAATTTAATATTAGGGAAGAATTGTGTTAACTGTATCAATGTACTTTTGGGATTTGCTCTTTCCTAGGTTGTTAGTTAATCCCTAAATACGGGATTTCCCCCGTTCACTGAGACTGAGGTGCAAAGCCTGGGAATTTCTGATTTGTTGTGG